CAGGTCCCTCTCGCCCCACCTTCCCAGCCTATCCAGGTCACGCTGAATGGCAGCACAGCCTTCTGGTGTATCGCCTAGACAAAGTCCTGTGCAGCCTGCTCTGGGTGACCCTGCTTCGGCAGGAGGGTTGGACTAGATGATCCACAGAGGTCCCTTCCAACCCCGAACATTCTGTGATTCTGTGTTTGAATTAGGTAGAGTATCTGGCCTGTAAATGGCGTAGAAATATCTTAGACATTAGCAGTGGATGGTCTTCATGGTCTCAGAGGGAGGGAGGTTTATTCATGGCTCCAGAGCTTTTAGGACAGCTTGATTACGGTTGCTTTCCCTTTTTCCTTTAGGGGAGGTATTTTCACAGTTCATTCAGTGCTACCAGTGATTGCCAGTAAAGGTGTCCCCCTTCACCTACCCGCCTCTCTGAGACTTGCGCCTGTTTGTTTGCAACTTGTCTGGCTGAAAGGGGGCTCACAGGGAAGAAAGTCCTTTGAGTTGTCTGTCCAGAGCCCTACTCATACCCTGGGGAGAGGATTTCTTATCAGAGATAAGAAGCACAGTTTTGAAAAGAATGGGCATCCTTTGCCATTGGTTTGAGCCTTGGACTTTTCTCTTGGATGTCATGGCAATGCTGATTTTTGCCCACCCCAGGCAGTTCCCAGCTTCCTGTGTCCTTTCACCCTTTTCCTTAAATATGTGTTCCTCAATCGTACAATGCAAATCTTTGTGTTTAACCCACTCATACCAGAAGGAGGAATGTCAGCTGGACCAGTTTTCACAGAAAGATAGTGTTTAGCGACCCTGCAAACAGTTGACGGCAAGTTGTCCATTTCAGTAGTCTGTGTGAGAGTGGAAGTGGGAGCCTGAGCAGCTTCCTTCTGACGTGGTGGCAGCCTGAGCTCCCCTTGGTTACCGCACCCTCTAAATTACATTTTTGGGGAGAAGGAAGAAGTACATCCCTGGATCGCCAGTACAAAGTCTTTATGCTTCCTTCCTCCTTTTAACTGCCCTGCTGTTTGGTAGTGACTGCTAAAACTCTGTCGAAAGATACCAATGTGTAAGGGTAGCATTTAAAGATGACTGAATCCCAGCCTTAGATCTTCAGCTCTTTCGAAATTAAAGCTCAGTCGCCTTTAGAGATGCTGTGCAATAGGTTGAAGTCAGGTTATAGATAGTCTAAGAGAATATGGTGCCCCTTACACTGTGTCTGTAATGATTAAGCTTTTCTTTGTCATTATTTAGGATTTTATGTCCTTTTTTCAGGAAATGAATGGCACCGTGTGAAAACAAATTGTGTAATGGGGCCGGTGACAGGACATTGAAGTGAGGCATGGACATTTCAATTGAAGTGCAGTGTGTTAGTCAAATGCTACCTGCTGGGCTGATTAGCAGTAACAATGTAATTCTGTAGCCTGTGTTATACAGGAAATCATAGTACGAAAATGAATGGCCCTTCCTGTCTGAAGTCTGGGAATATATAAATGTCCAGTGCTTTGATATTCACTTTGTCTTACATTCTGGAATGACCAAGAGTCGTGTATGTGCTTTCATGGCACACCCATTTTCTGAAGTGCTTGGCAGAGTGAGAGAAGTGATGACTGCAGGGAGGGAACTGATTGTTTCCTTAGGTTGTGATTTTTGTGTTGTGGTCGTTTCTTTTTTCGACAGAGGTGATAGCTTTAGGATGAAAAGGCTCTTGAGGTTTTTGTTGGACTTAGCCTCTCTGTGTTTCTGTTAAACAAACAAAGTGTATACACCTAGACCTGCAAATAGAGGCTTCAAACGTCCCACAGTGTCTGGGTGCCTATCACTGCTGCCAAGACTATCCAGTGAAAGGCAGGACTGTCAGCCATCAGAGAAGTGCAGAATTTTAGCTTTTCTCTCTGCCTGCTCCTCTCATGCTCCAGCTGGTTTTGTTTGCATACCTGTCGCATACTTGTGTTTTTCATTTTCACAATCCATGCAAACCCAAAATAACAGCTACATTCCCTTCTCAGATTTCTTTATTAGCCTTCTCCCAACACACCACATCCCCAGCCTCTCTTTTATGAATGCCTTTGCAGCAGATCTACTCCAAGCTAGACTGATTTTACTTTCTTACTTTTTTGGGCACCAATCCACAAGATTGCTATTGAATAAGGAGCAGGACTTCGAGATCACTTCTGTCATACTTTAAAATACAGAAATTGTTATGTTATTGCTCAGCCGTAATATATTTACCGTTTTATTGACTCCAGTGTAGAAACAAACTGCTTTTGTTTGACGGGTGATGACTGTGATTAAAAAAAGCTTTTGATGTTTTGTCTCCCGTGTAACGAATTGTTTTTTCTACCACTCATATTCCATTGGTCGTGTGTTAGGTCTGTGTGATCTGTAATCTGCACAGAAAATACATGCTGTCTGCAGTACAAAAAGAGTTTTTTTGTTCCGGTGTTTGCTGCTAATATAAAGTGCTATATTGATCCAGTCTGGCGTCCTAAGTATTTTCCTGGTGGTGATGAGAAAGATGGTATAATTCTTCACCAAAAGGAAAAGAGCTTAATTTTCATGCAAGCCAATATTCAACAGAATCATAAAGCCCTAGCCGTGGTAATAAAAGTAGAAGCTGGTGTTATTAATACATCATTCCAGATACACAGAGCACCATTATGTGGCTCCTGGGTTGAGTAAAACTTCATGTAATCACAGTGGCCATAGACTTGAGCCCTATAAAGTTTGAAACTTCACCAGATGGCCATTGTCAAGGCAGCTTCTAAGGACTCTATTGGTGCCATGTATTGTAGCTCTGGATGTGACTTACTCAGTGGTAGCTTTTTAAAATACAATTACTGATCATAACTGATCTACATTATGGAAGAAATAATAATGATATTTTACACTCAGTGACCTTTTATCTGAGGACCCAAAAGCTCTTAACCAAGGCTTTTAAATACTCCTTTTCTGCTTATAGGAAATAAAGCGTTCAGAGGCTTGATGGAGTGTGAGACAATTGAGCAACAGCAGTCTGACTCCATGGCCTATTTGAAACAGTCAAGCAGTGCTCTCTGCAGGACTGGGACTGGGACAGGAGAGCGTTCCTGTACCCGTCCCTGTCCCTGACAGCTGGGGGATGTTGTGCCAGTTGCTTGGGCTGGAGCCTCCTACTTCTCTCCCTGTGCTCGGCACTGGTGAGGCTGCACCTCGAGTACTGTGTTCAGTTTTGGGCCCCTCACTACAAGAAGGACATTGAGGGGCTGGAGTGTGTCCATAGAAAGGCAGCGAGGCTGGTGAGGGGTCTGGAGAACAAGTCTGATGGGGAGCGGCTGAGGGAGCTGGGGCTGTTTAGTCTGGAGAAGAGGAGGCTGAGGGGAGACCTTATTGCTCTCTACAACTACCTGAAAGGAGGTTGTAGTGAGGCAGGTGTTTGTCTCTTCTCCCACGTAACTAGTGATAGAACGAGAGGCAATGGACTCCAGTTGCATCAGGGAAGGTTTAGATGGGATATTAGGGAAAATTTCTTTACTGAAAGAGTGGTCAGGCATTGGAACAGGCTGCCCAGGGAGGTGGCTAAGTCACCATCCCTGAAGCTGTTCAGAAAATGTGTAGATGTGGCTCTTTGGGACATGGTTTAGTAGACAAGGTAGTATTGGGTGGATGGTTGGACTTGATGATCTTAGAGGTCTTTTCCAACCATAATGATTCTATGATTTTATGATTCAATAGTACCTTTAATCTTGAGTAGAGCCAGCCTGTGAGTGGGATTGCTTGTGTATTAAAATGCTGTGTTGGCAGGAATGAGAACAACGTACAATAGCCCTAACCTGAATTTCCTTTATTCGCTCTGTAAACTATGAGGGTAATACTGAAATGATGTTAAGATCTGGGGCTGAAAGTTACTAAGGTGCAGATATACCACACTTAGCTGGGGGGCTTAGATGCGGAGTGATGTATCTTAGGCTCTGTGTTCAGGGCAGGCAGATAAGCACCTGCAAAGACTGGCCTGTATTTCAGGCAGAACAGTTATGTCCTTTTAAAAAGTACCACATGTTGGCCGTGAATTTACTGAGCTTTAATACTCAGGCTCAAAAATCACATAATGGTATTTATCGATAATGGGAGTAAATAACTGTATTTGACATTTGCTTTTGTATAGTCAGTAGTTATTTTTTCCCCAAAGAGATTTTATTGTAGATTTTCAGGGTCTAGAGAACATGCCTGAAAGTTTTCTTGGTGACTGTTTTTCTTTTATCTTTTAGATCGATGTGATTGTGACTTTGGGCGGACTTGGAGGACGCTTTGACCAAATAATGGCATCAGTGGAAACGCTTTTTCGTGCAACAAATATCACTCCTTTTCCGGTGATAGTTATCCAGGAGTGCTCGCTGATTTACCTGCTTCAACCTGTAAGTGTTGTGAAAAGTCACTTCGGAATAAAACTGACCTTCCATCCACCCTGACCTCATAGGTCTGGCACCATTTCATCTCATTTGCTCATTTTCTTAATTGTATTCCGTAGGGTCAGAGCCTAAATATAAAATATATTGCAGGGAAGCAGACAGAAAATGATGGGCTCTGCAGTCCTGCCTTGGAAAGGACCGTGCTTAATTTGTTCAGGATAGATTTCTTTAAAAGGGGAGGAACATAGAAATCCAGAAGGTAGGAAAACTGAAGCTGGGTAAACAGAAGATTTTGATTGTAAATGATAAAAAGTTTTAAAACTTTTTAATTAGAATCCAGTAAGCTTAAATTTAGGACACAGCCCTTTTGCCTGATGAGTGGAAATAAGGATGTCTGCAGTAAAAGAAACAAAAAAAAAAGCTGTAAGAGGAAGATATGAGGGAGTTCCTGACAAACATGTCAGGCAGAGTTCTTATGTGGTCTGAGTGGTGCAGTTCATTATGGTGGGAATCCAGCTAGGATCAATGAGGGAATTTATTTAAGGTGCGTTCTTTTTGTGGTTTTTCAGGTCTGTTGTTCCATTTATTGATTCGTAAAACAACACACACAAAAGATCTTGCTGGGCTTCTGCCTCTGAGATGTAAATTAAAAGCCAAATCTAAGCATCAAAGAGTCTTCTCTAGCAGTGATTCATTTATTTGTTTGGAAATATCTTTTCCCAATGTTAGGGTTTTTAGAAGCTGAACTAACTTTCCCATTTTATATTGGGAAGCTCATTTCATTAAAATAAATAACATTCACAGATAAATTTGACAAAATCCTGCACCACACATGCTTCACTGTAATTTGCGAAAAGCATTACTAAGGTTCTATGAAATTATAGATTTAAATCCACAGGGGCAGATGCTGTATTAACAACCTTGAAGCACTGTATCTGCAGGAAAGACAGTAGGCACAGGAGCTCATTTGCGAGTATGATGAGGAATGACTCTGATCATTAGTTGCACAAATAAATGAATAGAGGGAGAAGAGCGAGGGGGAAAGAGAGCTAAAGGATTAATGTGGTTAGTATCTGGAAGTGAGGAGTAACTTCCCTGTGATTGACCTGTGGGTGCAGTACTTCACTGACTGCTGTAAATTAATTTTAGGATGTTTTTAAGAACGTGTTGAAAAGGTGAAAGAAGATGGAGAATTCCCAGTTTAGCTTACAAGAAACTTACTTGGACTGGAAAGACTTTTAATTCTTTTCATTGTTTTTTTCCATAAGTGGCTTTAAAATGCCATGCCTAAGGTTGCTTTCAGAAGAGTCTTCAATGAATAATTAAACCATTTGCAACTTGAAAAAAAATCATGATCTGTGCATTTCAACAGAAATGAGAGGTTGCTAATTGTTTGGGCTTGCTGGAAACTTCTTTACGTTCTGTTTTTAATAATTCTGTATGAGAAGCATTTAATACGTTTTGTTGATGGGGAGAGTCCCACAGGATATGATTTTGTTCTGCCATCCCTGCCTGTCAGCCTGCATTGCCAGTAACTGACTTCTGTAACTTCAGGCTGTTTCTAGCGTTCAGAAATAAAAGGCAGATAATGGGAGCAGGCCGTTTAAACAATCTTAATGCTAACTTTGACACAAAATTGCTTTTCGCTCTTGGTTTAAACTTGTCACTGTCAGCATCTTCAGTCAACTGTCTTGGCACCTCCAGGTAATAACATTAATCCTGCATAGTTTAGATAAAAATCAAGTGAGTAGTTTATACACAGAAAGAAACGAGGATCCTAAGCTTAGAAATACTCTTTTTTTGTACAGAGTTCAGCATGATATTTTTGTCTTGTAAACAACTGCAATCATGGCATTCTCTCTTTTTCCCCTCTACTCTTTGTAATTTAAAATCAAGGTAGGAGGGAGCTGAACACAGTGGGAGACCCACTGACTTTTCGAAATGCAAGTCTGGAAACTGTGCAACAAATGAAGCAAGGTTTTGAGATTCAAATGCTAATGCAAATGATAAAGTTACGAGTGTGTGGTTTTTTTTCTTTTTCTATAAAATATAGATCTGAAACCTTTCGCTCTTGGGGAAGAAGAATCTGATCTTTATTGGATTCCCTGGATAAAATATATGAGCATAATATGACCATGTTTTTGCTTCAAAATAGTATAAGACCTCTATTCACTATAGCAGGAGACCAGTATTGGTTCTCTATCGTGTACTTATGCAGACGCTAAAATACTTGGACAGAGCAGATAAACTGGTAATCCCATAACAGCCCTAGGAAGGACACAAAGGGGTATAACAAGTCAAGCTGCTGAGTATTTAGTTAGTAATACAGAAACTAAGAAGAGGACTGTGTGAGTAGATATCTGAGTACACCATAAAATCTATTAAGTAATGGCTTTGAGAGAGAGTTATTTCACATTATTACAATGTTGATATAGATGGGTACAGCAGAAGAAATACATCAATATTTAACATACTTGTAAAGGGTCCACCATGTTGTAGGAAGCAGGCTTATAGAATTGCTAAAAGTCTCCAGGGTGGTAGAGGAAGACAGCAAGGACAATGCCTGATTTGGAATCCACTGCAGACTACCAAGCAAGGAGGACCAGGTAAACAAAGCCTTTTTTCATCAGCCAAAAAAATTATCCAAGTACTGAATGTGAAGGTAATCGGCATTCTGAGTACTGAGTCATCTCTTGGGAAACAGACAGACAGACAGTGCAAGTTTATGAAATATATTGGGAAAAATGTTTTTGACGTGGAAAGTGAAGAAAGCTACAAGGAAGCAAACTGTTTTGTAGCCATTTCTGACCTGTAAGGATGAGCTATGCTTAGAGATGGAGAAGAGAAAATAAGATGGGAAGAATAACAGCCCATAAATGTCTGTCTCCTTGGACTTTATGGAGAAATTGGGTAGTAGGCTGAGATCTGGGTATATGCTGTAGGTATCTAAATTTAGATAAATGAATTCTGATACAGGTCAAATTACTAAACAAATATTTAAGAAAAGTAAACAGGCATGAAATGAGGTGCACCTATGAAAAGGCCCAAGGAATAAGAACACAGTCTGTAACTATACAAGTTGTAAGTTGACAGTGGAACATTTTCTCTTGTCTTGAACAGGAAAGGAAAACTGATCACATACAGCTTAAATTTAATGCATCTTTTGCTCGGTCTTCACTAAAGAAAAGCATTCCTTTGAGCAGATAACCAACACAGTTAAAATCAGTGCCAAAGCCTGAAAAGTTTAAATTGCTTCAGAGAAAAAGCAAATAAGAGATTGAGCTGCCTTTGATTTTTTCCAGTTCCCAACGGCTTAGATTTTGTGTGCCAGGCAACACTTATTAGGATAGGAGTCAGAAACAGGGAGACTGTGTAAGAATTCCAGGAGTTGATGCTTGCTCTGAAGCATTTTCTAATGTGATCATTGGAATTTTGAAAAGAAAAGAGAAAAAAAGAAAAAAAGTATTCCTGTACTGAATAGCCATCATATTTCTTTCTGTAGGGGATGAGGGAGGAAAGCCTGAATTCTTAATAAAGAGTAATCACTCTTTATAAGCAGGATATTTTACGCAACTGTCCATACATTTTATGCTTGAAATTTTGGTAATATCAATTACCATTAGAGTACACCCTGGCTGCAGAGTGTTAGGCCCTGAGAGTCATGTTTATCATGCGAGCCATGCTCAATACGAATGGCTTAGGGTTTCACATACATACTTTCTCATTTTCTGGTAGTGTGCTTCTCAGGAGTGCAGAAACATTAGCTTCTGTACACTGAGCATAAATTATCTTTTATCTGTGAGTTTTATGGCAGTTTGTAATACAAGGTAATAGGATTTATGACCAAGAAATGAGAAGATGTCCAAGAGTTAATGAGGCCTGTCTTTTACATTATACTGAGTGGTTCAGTTTTCCCCATGCAGGATTCCAGCCTTGGGATGTAGAGGAGAAGAATCGCTACATACACACGAAAATGTGTTACAGCAGCATATTTTTTTCAGTTACCTA